CTCTGAATTTTCTGGATTACAGTTTGAATAGTTTTCATTATTACACGACATATTTTCCATATTTCTTAAATACTAAGGATAAAATTTACTTCGTGAAAATGCAAGAATGTGCGTCTCGAAATTCGTAGTTTTGATGATTTTCAGATAAAAGATGTTTCTGAGTGTATACGTCATCATATTCGGCTGAAAATTTTAGAAAATGTTAACTTTGAATATGTGTCCAGGCCCCTTTAAACAATTTGAACCTAAGTTTAGTTTATTTTGATACTGGTTTTTTCTTAAATACCACTTACTATATCTTAACATCAGCTGTGATCGAATAAGTGTGCATTGGATTCTATATAATTATATGTCCAACTTTTTCTCTGTGATAATTTTTGAAAGGTTAATTGTATTAATTTCTCGATATTTACAACTGGATGTAAGTTTACGTTTCGCCAAGCAAAAGGTTAAGTGCCTAAAATGCATGTCGATTTCCTCGGGTTGTCATTATTGGGCGTGGACCATGGAAATAAATATTGTGTATTCCAATTCTATTAGACAATGCTTTTTATTTATATCTACATTTTTATTTCACATATAAATGAAAAGAATCATTGTCTAGTTTGGAGATATGTCAAGTCATGAATGACAGTTGGAAACGTTGAATAATTCATGCATGACAGACTTCGTCCGTTATTCAAATTATCCCACGTATCCAACTCTCCTTAATGTCCTGGCATATTTAACAAACTAGACAGTGATTCCTTAATCTTATCAGGAATATTAAAATATTGCAGAGATTGTGTAAAAGTAAGGACTCTTATTTGGTAGAAGTGAACGGAGAAAAAGAAAATGAGTTTCTTAAAAGGACATTCCTGGAGATCATTGATAGTGGTAAGTTTTAATTAAAAGTATTATTTGTGAGTATAATGATACCATTTCTTTACTACGTAAGAAATTTACATAATGATCTGTGTTATCTCGAATATATATTTAACGATAATTAATCAAGCTATTCAACACGTTTTCCACTAGAGGCCCTTAAAGGGATAATCTGCATACCGACGAACCAATATGTTGGAGTATTATCAGGATTTATTTTTATTTTAAGCTTAAAACATTATATATTTTTTTTCAGTTTCTGCTATATATTCCATCACTTTTTCACTATTTCACAGCGTTTGTTTTTCTTTACCACATAGAACAATTCTAGCGTGATTCACAAATTAATAATCTACCACAAAGTTATAATTCACTTTGTCAAAAAATACTAACTTTAAGGGGGCGAAAAGGTCCATAAAGGATGCTCTTAACTTCTGTAACCCTCTTGCATTATCTCTTGATTATCAAAAGGCACTCTGCAATTAAGGCCAGATGATACAAACTGTTATCAAAACAGTTGAAAATAACAACTTGAGCCCTGTTTATATAAGTCAAATAAACATGTTTAACAGCAAAATATTTAATTTTTCATTCAAAGTTTAACAATAATGGGATTTGAAGTGACAAAAATTTGTATAGATTAATAAGGAATGTTGCAGAAAGATAGAGTTGTGAACATCATAAAAGGTTTACAATTTCTTAATATTATAGAATTTATTATTTTTATCATTTAAAACAAAACTAAGCCCAAAAATATATACCAATCCAGGCATCCATTTTTTTTTTTTTTATCATCTGTTCTTAAAGAGATGAAGGAATACAATGTATGAAAAACTGGTAACTATCTCGAACAATTTATGCAATCTTTATTCATTTTAAAGAATAATGTTAATTTCATCAATTTCAAAATTCATATGGAATATTTTGTTTACTCCTAATCATTCTGTACTTCTAGACTTGTGTTCTGCAAAATACTCCTGCCCTGCGTGGATAGGAGCTAATGACGAAGGTAAAGAGAACAAATTCATCTGGAGTCGATCGAAACATGAGGTGAATTATACAAACTGGGCTCCTCATGAGCCCAACAACTTGGGAAGCGACCAGGACTGTGTTACATTGCTTCGAACAGGATTGTGGGACGATGCGAACTGTCATTTAAAAATACCCTATATTTGTGAAAAGTTGTAGAATGGATTGTGTATTTTCTGCTTTGTCCCTGTTTTGTGTGATAAGGCAAAAACTGTGAAAGAAGTGACAATAATATACGCAGAACTGTTATAACTTTCGAGTGACTCAACAAATCGCCTTTTCGCAAATACATAATTATACACTTTATATATCTTAACAATTTTAAAATATAGATTAAGATTGTGTATCTTTTTCTAAAATGTACTGCTGCTTTCGTGAAATTGATAACATTAAATAATACATTAATTTCTTGATAAAGGTCACACATATTTCAACGCAATCCCCATTTTTTGAAAATTCAAACTAACAAGATTCAAAATCCATTTAAAACAGCAGCACTTTACAGAAACTACAATACTATAGAAATAATTCATCAATAAAATTTTAATTACTGGGTACAGCCCGCGTTATTACTATTTGTGTATGACCTGTATAAATTATATGTATTTATGCATGTGACAATTAAATTAGACAAAACCACATTTTGTATAGAGAGAGATAATTTTATTATTTTTTTTTTTGTTCAGTTCAAAAAAAGTTTTGATAATGAAATAGCTGTTAACAATAAATTCAATTTTAAAAGTACGGGGGTCGTCCCAAGAAGCCTTAAACAATGGATATAAATGTGTTAACATTTGATCAATCCAAACCAAATTTTGCATGACTATCATTTATAAAATGATGAATGCCTCTTAGAATAGTGGTTTCTTAATAAATGTCTTTCAAATTAATAATATAAAACAATTTATAAGAAGGCCGATATGGTCTGTCGGCGAACGAATAAAATTCGGGAAAATTTTCATATGTTACTATTTACACATGCATTTGCCTCTCTGATAATTTGTAAAGCATTTTCAACAGTTAAATATCATTATTGTGTAATCCGATTTTACACATTTATAATCTAAGATTGTATGACAAATTAACTTACAAACTTTGTTTAAAAAAGTGTTTAAGAAATCAGTACTTTCATAGGCGAAAATGCCTATCAAAATGCGCTATGGCTCTTTGCTTTTTGCTATGACAATAATAAGATTTATTTCCTTTACGAAATAAATCCAATTATTACAGCGATGGTTACTGTTGTGCATGAGATCCGCGCCTTAGATTTGTGCGCGTAATGCCCTGCTGTAGATGACGTTATCGCCGTTTATGTTTGACGTCACAATATTTGTTACAGTTGGACTGAGAGGTGGGTGTTGTTTGTCTCGTAGCTTAAAATTTTTATGTAACTGTTAAATTTTGGAATGTTATCCCTTCATTTATTTCTTATTTAATAATCTCAGTGATAGTTACATATAAATCAACAGAATTCATGTGTATAATGTATTATTACCAAATATAAACATACTTTTAGATCTATATCGTTCGTTGTTTATCTCAACAACGGCTTTATGATATTCAACTTGTTTTTATACATCAGAATTAAAATATATTTTCATATTCTATTTCGAGAATATGCAACCTCAACAACAGTCACATTCCACTGACGAAGGGGGGGGGAGGTCATCTAATGGAAAACGCAAATTCACAGGGAAGGCTAGAAGACCGGGAGTTAAGAAAAGATGTCAGACTCAGAGGGAAAAGAACCCAGAACCATCTCAAAAAACGGATCCTGTAACAAACAAGGAGTCAATGCCAGATCTAGAGGAAGTTGTTTCATCAGTTGCCGAAAAAATGCTGCCGGAAATCAATAAAAGGATAGAGACGATTATTTCTCAACGTCTTGACACGTCGTCGACTGAAGGTAGCAAAGTCTTTTATAGTACATCAACTACAAATGTACCAAATCTATCAGATTCAGATCAAGTCGTTTGTTTTGACACAATTTCCCCTTCATGTACATCACCTCAGAGCATAACCAGTGTAAATGACGATCTAGGTATGCATGTTACACAATCAGTTAGACAAAAAATCATGAAAGGGGAGTTTGTGGAACTACATACACTTTTAAATAAGCAAACAGATATTGAAACACAGGAAAGTAGAGTTCTATTTACGAATGGTAAACTTACACTAAAACCTGCAAATACAGTCAAAATTACAACAATTGATACTTGGCTGGACGCATTTTTTATTTATATGAGTATATATTTGTCAGCACATATTGATCAAACTCACAGTCTTATCAAATATATGGCTGATGTAAAACTCGGCGCCAGTCGAGTTTCTGGTGGATTAGGTTGGAAAGAATATGACCGACAATTTAGATTAAAAAGAGCCAAAGACAACAGTATTTCCTGAGACAAAATTGACACAGAGCTATGGCTTCTTTACATAACCCCAAATGCTCAGTCAGTATATAAGAATCCTCAGGGCAACTCAAAATTTTGTTATGAATACAACAACAAAGGTTCTTGTCGCATACAAAATTGTCAATATCAACACCATTGTTTAAAGTGTCAAAACAAACATCCTGCTGTTCATTGTCCTGATAAACAAGCTGTACAGAGGATTTCATCCTCAAGGGCTTTTCAAGCTCCCTTCTCAGTTTTTCGTCAGTCAGGAAGCAAATATCCAACAGGTTCCTTTCGTAAGAACAGGTTTAACTCCAATTAACTTGAACAATATGTGTCCTTACCTGGCAATTTTTCCAAATCAAAATATAGCTGATGAATTAAAGAACGGTTTTGCATTAGGTTTTTGTATGCATTATAAAGGTCCAAGAGTGTCAACAATCTGTAATAATTTAGTTTCTGTGAACGATCACCCCAAAGAGGTAAAAGAAAAAAATTGACAAGGAAATTTCTTTAGGTCGCATAGCAGGCCCTTTCAAACATGAGCCTTTATCTAATTTAAGGCTATCACCTATTGGGGTCGTAGCAAAAAAGGATGGGGGTTGGCGTCTCATCCACCACCTTTCATATCCTTCTAATTTTAGTGTTAATGATTTCATAGACCCTGAATCTTGTTCTGTTCATTACACTTCTTTTGACGAGGTGTTGGACATGATAGGGGCACTGGGAAAAGGGACTTATCTTGGAAAAATAGATGTTAAATCAGCTTTTAGATTACTTCCGGTTCACCCTTCTGACCATCAATTACTTGGTTTCAAATTTAAAGATCAATATTATTATGATATGTGTCTACCAATGGGTTGTTCAATTAGTTGTGCTTTATTGGAAAAGTTTGCACACTTTATTCAGTGGGTTGTAGAAGTAAAAACTGGAGTTCACACTTTGAACCATTACTTAGACGATTTCATATTTGCTGGAGGCACATTAGAAATATGTAACTTGTTGATGTTTTCATTCAAAATTACCTGCTCTGATTTTGGTATCCCTCTTGCAGAAGAGAAAACAGAAGGTCCAAAAACAGTTCTTACGTTCTTGGGTATAGAAATTGATACAGATAATATGGTTATTAGAATTCCTGAAGAAAAAATTATCGATCTGGAGAAATCATTGCTAGAGATGTTACAAAAAACAAAAGTTACACTGAGAGAATTACAATCTTTAGTAGGTTCCCTAAATTTTTGTGCTAAAGCTATTCCATCTGCTAGGGCCTTCAACAGAAGATTTTGTGATGCTATGTGTGGAATAAAATATTCCAGTCATTTCATTAGGGTAACAAAGGGAATGAAATCCGACCTTCATGTGTGGCTAGAATTTATACACAGGTTCAATGGTAGTTTAAATTTCATGAATGTTAATTGGTTGTCTAACAACCAACTTCATCTATACACTGATAGTGCAGGCAATCAACATTTAGGATGCGGCGTTTACCTTCATGGGCAATGGGCATATTTTGGTTGGCCGGAAGAAGCCAGATATTATGTTAGACATAACGTTTTTAGAGTTAGTGCCAAATTGTTCTTGCAATTTTCTTATTTAAGAATGAATTCCTCGACAAGAAGATATTGCTACACACTGACAATAGAGCTTTGGTTTCCATTTTAAACAAAAAATCATCAAGATCACCTCGGGTTATGGAATTGGTTAGGCCATTAGTTTTGCAATCTATGGTAAACAATATTTACTTCAAAGCTTGTCATATAGATGGTTATAACAATGCTATAGCTGATTCTATTTCTCGCAAACAGTGGACCAGATTTCGTGTTCTCGCCCCCAAATCCGATCAACACCCAACACCTATTCCAGAAGATTTTATAAAAATGATCTTGGAGCTGAAATTAAACGCCTGACGCTAAATTCGGCATCATTAAATACAAGACAAACATACTCCACTAGTCTAAGAAGTTTTGAGCAATTTAGAATTTTGTATGAACTGCGTTCTATTTGGCCCCCACCTGTTCCACACATCTGTATGTTTATCGCTCATTTATCCCTGCAAGGTTTGACTCATGCTACCATTTCATCCTATATATCAGGAATAAGTTTCAAATGCAAAATATTGGGATTCTGTGACAACACAAAAATTTTTTAATTAGAAAATTGTTGGAAGGAATCAAAAGGTCAAACCATTCAAAAGATTGTAGACTTCCTATCACAAAACACATTCTTGAGAAACTCATAAAAACATCTTTAGTTTGTTCGTCAAACTTCGAGGCCATCCTTTTTTCAACAGCATTTTCAGTAGCATATCATGCTTTTCTTAGAGTCGGTGAATTTACTTTTAGTTGTTCTAATCAAGCAAATCCAATTATTTCTTGCAAACATATAAAGTTTATAAAAAATGAAGATTCTGGGGAAAGTTTCATAGAGCTTCTAGTTCCTTTCTCAAAAACTGACCAACTTGGGAAAAGGACATCCGTATTTTTGCAACAAACAAAGAATTCTATCTGTCCAGTTGAGTGGCTGAAAAGGTACATTGCTACAAGGCCAAAATTTGACGGCCAGTTATTTATACATATGGACGGTAGTCCTCTCACAAGGTTTCAGTTCTGTTCGTTATTAAATAAGACTCTTGAAGTAGCCGGCCTTCCAAACTCACGATACAAATCTCACTCTTTCCGTATTGGGGCCGCGTCAGATAGTTTCTCTTACGGTCATTCGGAAACAGAAATAAAAAAGCAAGGTAGATGGAGTTCGAATGCCTTCAAAAGGTATATTAGGATTAAGTGATGTCCTCAATTGATTTTCGTATTTTTATATAGGAAGTGAAAAGGTTATTTGGATTGTTGGTTCTTCAATTATTAAGTGGGCGTTCTACTATGCAAGAAAATCCTTAGATGGTGTGGATTTAGGTTTAAGACGAGGAAGCTACAGAATTTTTGGCAGGGAAAGGGAGGTATGAAATGGTTTGACCTTATTCCAAAAATAAAGCTTTTGTTAAGGTATGAATCTCCACCAGAAATTTTAATTATTCATTGTGGAGGTAATGATATAGGTAAAATTCCATTATTGCAACTACGGTCCATTATGAGTTCAACACTCGAGGAACTTAAACAACTACTCCCCAAAACTACACTTGTTTGGTCAAATATGTTGCCAAGAATTTCATGGCGTTTTAGTTCAAACTCGAAAACGCAAAATATTGCTACTGTCAGACTCAATAATTTTATGAATCATTTAATCACTGTCAATGGTGGGTTCTTTATCAAATACCCAGAGATTACTTGGGATTCAAAAGAAATGTTTAGTAGTGACGGAGTTCACTTGTCATACTTCGGTAATTGTTTCTTGCTATTCAACTTACAAAGGACTCTGCAAGAGTGTGTTTTACTATAAAATGGTAAATATGTAGATTGATCTTCAAGATGTGGCCACACCTACATATACTTTGCGTCTCTCATTCCACCTAACTTTGTTGGCGGTGGTTGTCCTTTTCATCGGACAACCATTTGGCGGTTATTCGAGACGCCTTCTATGATACAAGTATTTTTTCACAACTTCTGCTGAGTATCTGCTCACCCAGTACCAGTATGAATGTTGTCACTATTCACATTTTAAGGAATTTATAAGGATAAGAATTATAAGGTTTATAAGGATAAGGATATATAAGGTTTATAAGGATAAGGATTATAAGGTTTATAAGGATAAGGATTATAAGGTTTATAAGGATTAATGTTATATACGATTAAATAAAGTATATATTGTATTATGTAGGTCGTGGCCACAAACGCCAACTCAAAAATAAATAATTAAAAGAAGTTATGCTTGTCTTCATCGTCTTTAATAAAAGAAAATTCTGTTAGCAAACAGACACTAATTTGTTTATCCTGTCTACGACGATTTGGGTCAACACTCTTCTACTGTGCATGTCTTCTTTCTGTTAGTTTCTTCGTCGTACACCTTTAACTGTTTTGTGTATCCTCAGTGCGTGGGATGAAAAACGATATCGACTATTTGAAATGAAAACGTGTATATGTTCCTTTTCTTTCAGAAAAAGTCTTCCTGGGCACGCCTAATGATGTGAATACCATTTACCATTCTGTCTACAGTAATCTAGAAGTAATGAAAAAAAATTACATCACAGGTAACTGTTGAAGCCGATAGTTAATGTAGCTATTCTGTCCTTTTTTAAAACGTTCTTTATTACAATTGGATTTTATTAAAACTTGGCTTCCTTTCTTTAACTGATAATCCAACATTTACGTGCACTTCCCTTTTAAAGAAAAGGATAATTCAAATTATTTCATCAACTACATGTATGCTTGATATTTACAACATCGAAATGAATCGTACATGTAATTACCATGCATATACTGGATTCGAAAACGACAGAAAAACAGTAGAAACAAAGATGCATAGCAGCATCCAACCAAGCTCCTTTTCTATATGTCGACTCGATATATCCCTGTGAACTCGAGATAAAAGACATCACTAAGTCTGTCACATCTGCTTCATATTTGGATGTTTAACGACTATAGATGATAAGGGCTGTTTAGCAATTAAACTGTATGACAAACGAGATGTCTTAAGCTTTTAAATCGTCAACTTTCCTTATTTATTTAGTAATATTCCACTAACACCTAAACATGAAAATATGGTATTTATTTCTTCCCACTTATTCGATACTCAAGACCATGATCTGAGTATGATCAATTTTGCAACCGAGGCAGACTACTGAAAAATAAATTGACGTCACAGGGATTTCAGCAGCCTCCTTTAAAGTTAACATTTCATAAATCCATGGTCATTATAATGACCTTCTTAGCAAATATGTCCTACCATTGGGTCGTATCTCAACTGACATTTTCCATACCAATGGTTAGGCCTATGATTTTCTTCTAAATTTGACTACCGAATATTTCGTTACCTGATCAATACATAGGGCTCACGGCAGGTGTGAGGGTCGACAGGGGATGTTTACTCCTCCTAAGCACCTGATCTCACCTATGTAATTTCCAGGGGTCTGTGTTCACAGATTTGTACTGTTTGTAGGCCTTATTTTTAGATCGACCACTGTTCTTCACCTTTTTTTATTCATTTGAGGACTGTTGATACTAAGAACGCCAAAAACGCTTTTTTCAAAACTTCAACAAATCTAAAAACTTTTCAAAATTGGCTAAATCAATTGACGGTTTTATACAAGCATTTTAGAATATTTAAGGATGAAGAGACTGTTTGATGTAGTAGATTAAGATCAAGATCTAGTAAATGAAAGGTGCCTACAGATTTTTCAAAGAGCTAAATCCAAGAAGGAGCTAAATCGGCCCATTCATCAAAATAAATGAAACTTTTTCATATAAAACTCCAAGATTTGTATGTTGTAAAACAATTTATTTTTTAACAATATCTTTTCTGGTTTTCTTTTTACATTCGTTTAAATTTGGTATTGTTTTCCTTATTAATACTATCACGTCATTACGTTGACGTTACATACTTTAATGTCGTGACGTTAACATTTTCTATAAGAAAGTAACATATGTTAATGGAATAAAAATAACCAATATAGGCTCTTCTTTAAAATTTTGGGAAAATTTTACTATGAATTTTTCAAGAAGTTCTGAAAACTTTTGGTTTAATTTTTTAATTAAAGCTATTTGTACTCTAAAGAAATGCCAAATATTTGTTATATACAACGGTTGTCTGGTATAATCGTTGATACATGTAACACCTTTTAAAGGATAATAAGAGACACGTTAAGCTGAAAACAAACACAAACTGTTAATTAATCATGTTTGAGTAAAACTGAATTAATCTAGTAAAATATATACTATAGTAGCCAAGGATAAGGATTTTGACATTCTTAAATGTGTTATTGTATGGTCATACGGCGTACAAGCAAAAATAGACGTTTTTTTCAGATAATAAACACATATACTCTTTAATAACGAAAAAAATAAAATTAAAATGAAAAGTTGTATTAAAAATGAATACGTTTGAAGTTACCATCTATTTTATTGTCATTTTGAAAATTTCGTTGCACTTCCGAAATTTATGGCATTTCCCGGATATTTGCATGGCCGTAGGAACCGGGGGGGGGCACTTGGGGGGGGGGGCGTCCCTCCCAATAATTTTGCCGATATATAGATTACTATAGTAAACATAGATAATATGCCGCAAAAAAAGTAAGAGACCAACGAAAACACAAGATTTCCAAAGTATTTGAATTTCAATTTCAAAACAGAACCTTAAGTTTAAAAAAAAAAACCAAGATAAACGGAAATGGCACGTACACCACTTTATTCAATGTAAATTACTTAATCGAAATAAAGTTCACTAATTATGATTAATATGTTATCATCAAAGAGAAACGTTTTTTATATACCCACAATAGATATGAAAAGAGATTTCAGATGACAAAAACAATCGAATTAATTATTGCTAACTAATCGTTTTCTTATCATATTATCATATCTTACACACTCCCATGATGGGGAGTACCTATTATAAACTCTTTCATAAAATAATAAAGTAATGATTATCTGGTGAGAATTGAAAATTAAACTGAAACATAACAACATCTAAGACTTTCATATAGTTCAAAACCAGTTTTAACATTTTACTCATAATTTTCATATATTTAAAATTACGTTTCGTTTCTCCATGTGCAATATCTAACACAACTACAAATAGATAGGCGATAATGAGTACAGAAGACGATAAAGTAATGATAATGTCGTATACATATTGAATATGAGATTTTCTTTAACCTACTTTCTTGTTTAAATGGCAGCAGTAATTGGTCGAACTGTCCCACGTATTAATGAGTGAAGATGGGAATCCCGAAACCGCTCTCTGCCCCCCCCCCCCCCAATAACCCCTGACTTTTTTTGTAAATTTAATAGGGTTTTTTTTTGCTTCTTTTTTTATATCAATGCTCTAATCCCCCCTTTATGAAATTACACTACTACATGTATGCTTGCTAATCTTGGTTGCCCTCTCTCCCTTGGACCTGTTACATTTAAGCGGAGTAACTCAAAATAGAAAGAGATAGCAATGTATAGCCTCCCTTTGGCATTTTTCTTATAGAGGCCTATCATAAAAATTACACGCGATCTATAAAATCAATCTATTGTTTATTTGATTTGTCAACTCAAATTTTCTAGGTTCAGTACTTTATGTTACATAATTTATGTTAAGAGGTCTCGGATCAGTAAAGGTTTTCACTAATAAATATTAATTAATCTTTTGTCTTAAAATACCACTGGCGATTTCTGAAACGCATGTTGGGTAAGGGTTATAATTTTAATATACATGTTTTTATAATAGACTCCATTTGCGTAACATTAACAATTTGTATGCTGTCGATGCAGACTTCACGAGTCGACATTTATGTTTTGTAAGGTGGCAAAACAATCTTTATAAATACGTCTTGGTAGTTGCATCCGATGTAATTTGTTTAATATTCTAGGCTATTCCAAAATGTCAACTCAGGAGAAAATAATGTAGTCTACATGTTTCTCTGGTGGTCTCCCTTTGATTACATAGTGACCATGGTAACGAGGAGCCGGGATTTGGAAAACAAATTCAAAGCATAAATAAATAGGCTGTCAGAGAAAAAGAGAACACATTATTTTCTTTTAACATTTCAGCATTGTGATGAGATAAATAAAGATCAGCTACTTGAATGAAAAGTCTTGGTTCAGGACTGAGGCACGTATATAGTACACAAAATGTCGACATTATTGCATCTATATGCAGTCATGCTTAGCGAGAGTTTTTCGTACTTTTTTGCACCACAACACAAAATAACTTATAAGAAATATAACATTCGCATTTCGAAACTTTTTAAACAAAAAACAATATAGAATCCTTTTCTTTCCTTTTAATGTAGGGTAATCCCCGCTATTTTCACTGTGTGAGTCGGTGCTAAGATATTTGAATCGAACGAAAAGTATTAATTTCGATGTGGCCACACCCCTCGAACAAAATAAAAATGTACTTTATTTATTCATATTTTAATCCTCTTTTCAATGGTATAAATTTTATTTTGTTCGAAGGGTGTGGCCACAGCAAAAATTTGTACCAAAGACGAAAACAATGCTTTTTTTTGATAAAAACTATCAAAGTGCACGTATTTAGACGTTTTCTGTACAAATATGACGTCATCAAATAAATAATTGGCATAAACTATAAAAGTTTGATACCCAAGGATAATATTTCTATTGTTAATTTTCTTCTTCCCCTTAGTTTAATTTTCCTGAAAAAATAGGCCGATTTAGCCACTTCGTGGACTTAGCTCTTTGAGAAGCGAGTTCGGTTAAAATAGGGTATACAGAAAAGTAGATCCGTAAAACCGATTAACATCTTTCAATTAAAAACAAGAAAAGAAATAGTTCCCTTTATAAAACAAAAAAGTGCGTATTTTGCCTTATTACATCAAATAGTCCACACGAAAAAAAAAATAGTCCACAAGAAGAATTTTTCCCTAAATAGTTGACAATTTAAAACTTAACCTATATTGTCATCACAAAGGTCTTCAGGTCGACAGTTGACACCTAATTGGTAGACTGTTATCCCTCAAAATAAAGGACAACAGACTTCTAAATTCTTCTAAATTGCTAAATCTTATCACCGTTCGGTTACCTTTATAGCTCAAAACAAAAGTTGACAGGTCGAAAGTTGACAAGGTCTCGGTATTCCTTTTACCCTCATAACATCCTCTCAAATTAATAGACTTTGTTTTGCGCGAACAAACACAAGACATTAGGTTAAGTCTTCTAAAACCACTCGATTGATCGATCCCATCGGAGATCAGGGTTAGTCCTCGAACATACCCGAGACATAAGGGTTGATTCTCGAACCTTCCCCAAAGTTTAGGTTTAGTCCTCGAACCCATCGGAAAGTTAGGGATAGTCCTCTAACCCACTTGAGAGATTAGAGTATGACCTCAAACCCACCGAGAGATTAGGGTTAGTGTTCAAACCCACTGGAGATAAAATCTGTCGACCTATCAACCTGTCAAGCCGTCGAACAGTCTACGTCCACCTGTCAACTCGTCGACATGTCTACCTGTCGACCTGTCAA